TTTAAAAAGAGCTTAGAGTCAAAAGTTTTTTTTATTTTGATAGTCATGAAATACTGGGAGATAAAAATGCTTTTATTAAAAACCATAATCATGTTATTATTTCTTTTTTCATTCTTGTAACTATTGCTAATTCTACCATCAAAATAGTTGAAACTAAATCTTTTTTATTTCCTCATTGACTTGCCATACTATTAAGCTCTTGATAAAGAAAGTAAAAAAGGGCCACATGGGTGAGAGGACAATGAGGGGCCTTGGAGTCAAACTGAACTGGGTTCAAATCCTGACTCAGCCACTTTGATCTGGAACAAATCATTTAACTTCTGATTATCATGACATTTTTGAAATGGTGATCACTGCATCATAGTGTGCGATGAAGATTATATGATAAAATATACTGAAAATACTGAGTTCAGTTCTCAAAACAATGCCAATGTATATTGACTGTTTATCTATGCTATTTCTAAACTGCCCATCTGTTCAGCATAGAACTTCTGGGAAGAGCAGGTTAGAGATTTACTGAGCAATTGCTTCCCTGTGTGTCTTAGGGAGAGGGTCCAAGAGTGGAGGACATAGGCAGAACAGGTCTAAAGAGAGAAAAAATGAACTAAAATATTTAATAACTCATTAGAAAAGATGAGACTGTCCTCCACAGATTTTTGAATAATCTCAACCATATAAATATTTACTTTTCTAAAATGAAATAATCACTGGTAAGAAAGTGAGTTCTAATGACCATACTACCCAAGACAATCTATGGATTCAATGCAATCCCTATCAAACTACCAATGACATTTTTCACAGAACTGGAACAAAATAATTTAAAATTTATATGGAAACACAAAAGACCCCGAATAGCCAAAATAATCTTAAGAAAGAAGAACAGAGCTGGAGGAAACACGGTCCCTGACTTCAGACTATACTACAAAGATACAGTAAACAAAATAGTATGGTACTGGCACAAAAACAGACACAGAGATCAATGGAACAGGATAGAAAGCCCAGAAATAAACCCACACACCTATGGTCACTTATGACAAACAAGGCAAGAATATACAATGGAGAAAAGACAGAATCTTCAATAAGTTGTGCTGGGAAAACTGGACAGCTACATGTAAAAGAATGAAACCAGAACATTCTCTAACACCATACACAAAAATAAACTCAAAATGGATTAAAGACCTAAATGTAAGACTGAATACTATAAAACTCCTAGAGGAAAACGTAGGCAGGACACTCTTTGACATAAATCATAGCAATATATTTTGGATGTCTCCTAGAGTAATGAAAACAAAAATAAACAAATGGGACCTAATTAAACTTAAAAGCTTTTGCACAGCAAAGGATACTATAAACAAAATTAAAAGACAACGTGGAATGGAAGAAAATATTTGCAAATGATACAACCAACAAGGGACTAATTTCCAAAATATACAAACAGCTCATACAGCTCAATATCAAAAAGAAAAAAAAAACAATCAAAAAATGGACAGAAGACCTAAATAGACAGTTCTCCAAAGAAGTCATACACGTGGCCAAAAGGCACAGGAAAAGATGCTCAGTATCACTAATTATTACAGAAATGCAATCAAACTGCAATGCAGTATCACGTCACACCAGTCAGAATGGCCAACGTTAAAAAGTCTACAAATAATAAATGCTGGAGAGGGTGTGGAGAAAAGGGAACCCTACTACACTATTGGTGGGAATGTAAATTGGTGCAGCCACTATGGAAAACAGTATGGAGTTTCCTTAAAAAACTAAAAATAGAGTTACCATATGATCCAGCAATCTCACTCCTGGACATATATCTAGAGAAAACTCATAACTCGAAAAGATACATGCACCCCAATGTTCACTGCAGCACTATTTGCAATAGCAAAGACATGGAAGCAACTTAAATGTCCATCAACAGATGAATGGATAAAGAAAATGCCATATATATATATATATATATATATATCTATATATGTATCAGATTGTAAATACTAAAATCATTTTCATAAACAAATGCTCATTTAAACCCAGAAGGAGGACTATGATATTAGAAAAAAAAGAGACTTACAACAATAAAAAAATAACATATATATATATATATATATATATATATATATATGTACACACACACACACACACAATGGAATATTACTCAGCCATTAAAAAAATGAATGAAATAATGCCATTTGCAGCAACATAGATGGTCCTAGAGATTATCATACTAAGTGAGGTAAAAGTCAGAGAAAGACAAATATCTTATGGTATTGCTTATATGTGGAATCTAAAAAAAAAATGAGACAAATGAACTTATTTACAAAACAGAAATAGACTCACAGACATAGAAAGCAAACTTATGGTTACCAAAGGGGAAAGTGGTGGAGGGATGAATTAGGAATTTGGGATTAACAGATACAGACTACTACATATGAAATAGATAAACAACAAGGACCTACTGTATAACACAGGGAGCTATATTCAATATCTTGCAATGATCTATAATGGAAAAGAATCTGAAATATATATATACACATATATATGTATATGTATAACTGAATCACTTTGCTGTACACCTGAAACATTGTAAATCAACCACACTTTAATAAAAGAATAAAAATTACAAGAAAAAGAGTTCTAGTTTAACAGCAATCCTTGGTAAGGGCTCAATATTTTACTTGATAAAATCAATACACAGGTATAACTTACAGTCCTAGCTGTCTAATTGGATGCAAACATTATCAAAACCTAGAAGAAAAAATGTGTGTACACAGTTGAGATAAAGAGTCCTAGCAACTGAGGGGTTGTTTGTTCCTTGAAGGAGTAGATTATGCCTTACTTTTTGTTATGTCCCTAGCACATAGCATAGTATCTGTCACATAATAGGCTCTAAGTAAATGTTTACTCAATTTGTGAATGACTAAACTTTGAGTCACTTGGTGACACTTAAACCTTGGTGAGTCTGAGGGCTTTATTCATACTTGTTAGTGTAAAGAAATAGTGGTCTAGCCTTGGAATTTGGGGGTGGCTTAGAATGTTCTCCATATTATCAAAATATATATATTCTTATAATTATTATGTTGCAATGACCAATGAGTCCTTTTATAATATAATGGGGCAAAATGAAATTTAAACAGTAAACAACCTAAACCAAGTATCAATATTTGTATGGAATTTTTATTTTACAAAGTGCTTTCAATATGTGATTTCTCTTATCACTTGAACATTTCTCTAAGGTAGGCAGATATCTTCATTTTAAAGATAGAGAACTTGAACTACAAAGAAAGGTAAGTGATTTATAAAGCCTTGCACAAAAGTAGCAATGGAACTGAACTTAATCTCTGGCTCAGCCCACGATGGTTCTCCTAACAGGGAGGTAGCATTAGTATGTGACAATATAGCATTGAATCAAATGAATTAAGTATGCACAATGGCACCTTCATAAACAGGATGGGAAGGAAATGACCTCTGTCTGTCACAGAGGAGGAAGGAAAGAATGAACATGGGAGAAAAGTGCAATATTTTTCAAGAGGGCATGTAGACATCAGAGTACCTTTTTCATCATAACACTATTTGCATATTTAAACCATTCAGCAAAGTGAGATGGATCAGCTTGACCTGTGTCATTTCACCTAAAAACACATTACTTTGTGATGTTTTCATTTCCTATGTGTATTTGGCTCTCCCATTAGAGTGGAAACTTCATGAGGGTCAGAGGCTAGACCATACTACAATAAAAGTTCCTAAAGCATTCTCTACCCAGAAGGAATTCATTTATTTTTTTGTGAATGGGCAATATACACATTGGTAACAGTATGCATATGGCTAAGAACATGGGACTTAAAGTCAGATCTGTGTCTGAAACCGTGTTCTCTCAATCACTAGCTGTGTGACTTTGGGCAAGTCGTTCCACCTCTGTGAGTCACACTGTTATCTGTAAAAAGGGGGATGGCTATAAGACTTACTCCATAACTTTGTGGTGAGGATTAAATAACTTAATGCTTGTAAAAACCTAGCAGGATGCTGGGTACCTAACATGCACTCAGTAAATGTTTTAATACTGCAATACACTGAAATTTCAAGCTCAGTGAAGTTCTGGGGCTACATGCTGATCTCTGTAGATGTGGAGAAGAGACATTTGGTTGATTCCCAAAAACAAAGTTAGGTGCTAAGAGAACGTTTTAAAAAGTGACCCAAAATATATTTTTAAAACAAACTTTTAATTTTTGGAATAGAGTAAGAGAACAAAGAAAAAAAACATAGAAGCAGTGTGACTATCACTATAAATGATTACAAACAAAATCAGCTTGCAGACACAAGCTCACTGACTAAGAAAACCTTGTGACATGTCAAGGTTTACAAAAGAGTGAAGACTTGAGATTTGGCTGGTCACAGAGGGGACATTCAAAAAGAGGAATATGTGCAATATTCTTTTCTGAGTAATTTTCCTTATTCCTAGAAACAAGTTTCTCACACATTTATTATTTTAACAAAGTCCAGCCAGCTTATTTTCCAGTGTGTACTTGTTCCGAGATCTTTAATCTTTCAATGTATTTTCAGGTCCTAATTACTCCGATGAACAGGCTAAATGAATGCAATGATAGAGGTCCCTTAAAGTGAGAAAGAGAATACTAATTTGTTAAAAAGAAAATGACACATACTAAATGATCTCTATCATATTTCGAATGATATTTATGAGAGAAAACTAGAGTCGAGCAACTGAAACGTTTGTTCTACCCAAAAGTAGCAGAAAAATGAACAATCACAGAGCAAGTACTACAGGTACTACACATCAATTCAGAAGAGAATGTGATGCCAAAATAAGGTAATTATTCCACTGACACTTCTCCTTTTGTGGCTTTAGTATTTACAGGAGCCAATTCATGGAGCCTAAAAAGGCTGTGAACACTCGAATCCTGACTGTTCAGCTCTGGGGCTCAAGCAGAGGGACGCTAGCCAAGCTCCTCTGCCACAGCCAGATGGTTCAGCTCCTTCAAGACACAAATGCTGATTCACAGAGCATCCTCGGTTTCTCCTTTGCTTCCTTCGGGATCTGAGTTAAATTCTAATGGCGTGGATGACTCCTCCACTGGAATCGCATCTCCCTGCCTCCTGTCACTTTCCTTGGTCTCTGCATGGATCAAGTGTGGCAAGCAGTCCTGCTCCGAGTTACTCCAGACGTAGCCGGGTAAAGTCACGTGGCTGTCGGGCTGCCGGATGGCCGTCTCGGCCGCTTTGCGGGAGATGAGCACCATGCGTGTGCCGGCCGCCATCTGCGACTGGCTGCTGGTGCTGGGCGTCACGGTAGTGAGCACGGAGCCGTATCTATGGCCGCCGCATGGGGGCGTCCTTTTCCAGTCCACGGAGAGATTCCACCGACTCCACATCTTCTTCACCTCAGACTGAACCTAAACCGCAAGGACCATATTGTGCATCAGAAACCATCAGAGACCCTGGAACCTTGTTAGATGGATGTCTGCCTGATTTCAATGATAGTAATAATCCCTAAGGTTCCACTGTGTGCCAGAGACTTTATATATACAGTTGACCCTTGAAGAACATGCCCCTGAAAATCCCCTATGACTTCACAGTTGGCCTTCTATATCTGGGGTTCTGCATTGGTGGATTCAACCAACCCCAGATGGTGCAGTACTGTAGTACCTATTGAAATGCAGTCAATACATATATCTGACTCATGGGAGAGGAAAAGAGGACACGGGGTTGGAGGAGAAAATGGGATAAATAGTGCCAGCTAAGGCTGTGGAAGGGCATGGAAGGTACTCAGCTGGAAATGTAACTGCAACACCATCGCTCTGCATGGGCATACTGAAGGAGGGAAATTGAGAAATGGATTGGATGGTGGAAAGTGGGTGCTGCAAGGGCATTCATTGTAGGGTGGGGCTCTTGCTTCCATTCTTGCTGCTGAAGATTCAATTCTTCTATTGCAACTTTCCAGAAGGGAGCTTTTTGAAAGTTCCATTGGAAGCAGTGGAAAGCTGGTAAGCTGATGTCATCTAAAAGATCGGTACAATTCTTTCTCTCCAGCCAACTCCTAAATGAACTGAAATTGTCCCATCACCATCTTGTAGTTTAAAAAATGTCAAAATGTTCTAATGGATTATTCCCAGGGAAAGTTATATTTGAGTTTCTTATAGAACTTGAAATAAAATATAAGTTGAAGCATTGACTGGAATATGAAGTTCACGGTCCTTCCAAGTATCAATTTGCATTCCAGTTAAGTTGGGTTGTTTTGGTTTTTTTTTTGCGGTATGCGGGCTTCTCACTGTTGTGGCCTCTCCCGTTGCGGAGCACAGGCTCCGGATGCGCAGGCTCAGCGGCCATGGCTCACGGGCCCAGCCGCTCCGCGACACGTGGGATCTTCCCAGACCGGGGCACGAACCTGCGTCCCCTGCATCGGCAGGCGGACTCTCAACCACCGCACCACCAGGGAAGCCCCAAGTTGGGTTTTTGATATCAAGGGTTGCAACTGAATTGACATTGAAAAGTGCTGGAAGAGGAAGACCTTGGCTTATTTACATGAATTCTTCCTTTCTCAAAATAATTTATGATTAAAATATCTCCCTTCTCTGTGTCCATTTTGTCCTGTAACCCCTGAGGATTCTAAAGAGATTCCAGTCACATTGTGATGGCCATTTATGAGCTTACTCGGAGCTAGACCTGCAGGAGGTATGGGGTTCCTTCAAACTTACCTCTCCATTGCAGTAGCAGTAGATGATAGACACAAAGAAACCCTGGAGGAGAAAATAGAATGTTTTAATTAATTAATTTTAATTATGAAGATCACAACACTAAAGTGTCTTGTGCCACAATGCGTAAGTTGAAAAACTGGGTTCTTTTTTAATGATTCCTCCAGAAAATTATGCAAATTATCTCTCCTAATATTTTGAAATCCTTAAATATACATGAAATTTGTCTGAGATCTTTCTTTGGTGTGAATTGAACCAAATAACTAAATAAAACACTCCAAAATACATGAAGAACTGATTTGTTACATTCATTTCATGTGTTGCCACCCCAGGACCACAGAACATCCCCCAGTTAGTAAGTGAAATTTTTACACTGTGAATGCTGGAAACTACAGACATAGGGTCTTATAAGGTGAAAACACACAGAAACTTTTTTTTCACTCATTCAAAAATATTTATTGAGTTTATACAGTGTGAAATGCTCAGCATGACAGGGATAAACAACTTAATCAAGACAGACAAAGTCCCTGTTCTCTTAGGGCTTACATCCTAGTAGGAAATACAGATGGATAAAATATAAACAAATAGGGGCTTCCCTGGTGGCGCAGTGGTTGGGAGTCTGCCTGCTAATGCAGGGGACACCGGTTCGAGCCCTGGTCTGGGAGGATCTCACATGCCGCGGAGCAACTAGGCCTGTGAGCCACAACTACTGAGCCTGCGTGTCTGGAGCCTGTGCTCCACAACAAGAGAGGCTGTGATAGTGAAAGGCCCACGCACCGTGACGAAGAGTGGCCCCCGCTTGCCACAACTAGAGAAAGCCCTCGCACAGAAACGAAGACCCAACACAGTAAAAATAAATGAATTAGTTAAAATATAAACAAATAGCCACAGGAGAAAAATGTAAGATGATAAGATAAAGGCCATGCAGGCAAAACAAGTGGTACTGAAAAAGAAGATGGAGATCTATCAAAGGGGGAACTCAATGAAGACCTCCCTGAGGGGGAGACATTTAAGCTGGCTTGAGTGAGAAGAAGAAACCAGGCCATGTGAATATTAGAGGGAAGAGCATTCCAGGCAAAGGAAACAGCAAGTACAAACCCCTGAGGCAGAAATGAACTTGAGGTACAGAAATTGTGGAAGAGCTAGTGTGGCTCAAACTTAGTGGGCATCAGGGAGCACGGTGTGAGGTGAGGTCACAGCTGGGCAGGCTCCCTGCCGGGGAGGGCTGTGCACACCAGGAAACTGCGTTTGGATTTTATTCTGACTGCAATGAGAAGACTCTGGATATGTTCAGCAGTTCAGTGACATTATCAGATTTATTTGTTTATTTTTATTTTATTTTTTATTTTATTGCTGTATGCGGGCCTCTCACTGTTGTGGCCTCTCCCGTTGTGGAGCACAGGCTCCGGATGCGCAGGCTCAGAGGCCATGGCTCACGGGCCCAGCTGCTCCGCAGCATGTGGGATCCTCCCGGACCCGGGCACGAACCCGTGTCCCCTGCATCGGCAGGCGGACTCTCAACCACTGCGCCACCAGGGAAGCCCTATCAGATTTATTTTTAAGATTCTTCAGACTATTGTATGGAGACTAGATTGAAGGCAAGAGGTGGCAGCAAAAGAGTAGCAGGAAGAAGAGTTAGGAGGCGCCTATAGCCTCCACGTGAGGGAAATGGTATCATGATTTCAAATGAGATCAAACATAAGGAAGCAACCTCTTCCTCTTACTTGTCTCCCTTTCTCTTTTTTCCTCTCCCCTGCCTATCCCTTCTTTTGCTTTCATTGACTTTTCATACACACACACACACACACACACACACACACAGATTCCTGCTCTGTAGGTGTCACATATTTTACAACAATGTGCTTTCTTGTCTCATAGCCCAAGCTTGTGTGTGAGAAACAGCTCCTGCTGTGGTCAGAGGTTAACCTGACTGACTGCTGCAGGATAGAAATGTGCAGGTGCCAGAAAATAGCCCCTTTCCTGGCCCTTGGGAGACAGGTGCGTGAATGCCAGAAGGAGGGGCAGAGGAAGGAAAAAAGCAAAATACAGGAATCAAATTACTAGTAGCACTCTCTACCTGAAAGGAGTTGAAAAAGAGCTCACAGTGCATCCGGATCTCCCACCCAAGCCCAGCAAAGGAGTGCGGCAGGCACACAAACACGATGTAATGCACTCCAAAGACCAGCACCAGCACCAGCGTTGATTTGGCGAGTTTCCTGGAAGAGAATGGTAAGCCTTTTAATTAGTCAATGTAGAGTGCCTTTCCATAGAGACAGCTTGCTGGAAAAAATAAAGCTTATTTAGCAGAGCTACCAGGGGCTGACGTTCCCTCACCTCTTTGGATCCACTGCTTCTGCTAGTTTTTTTTCCTCTCCCCCTTCTTCCTGTCACTTTTATACTAAATCAGGTAGTTTATTCTCACTTCCCATGATTACTATCCCCTAAGTCTCTTTAATCTCATTTCCACTCTTCTTGCTTAAAGGATACTATTTTCATAAAATTGTAAAATGCCTTTTTTTTTTTTCTGTCCTAAGTCTTCTTTAGCTTCTATGTTTGAGACTTAAAGAGGTACCACCTCCATCCTCAATAACCGTCTCTACTTTCACAGGCAGCATTTTGGCTTGTTCTGTTCATTTTAGAACCAACTACTCCCTGGTCTCTTCTTACACTTGGATCTTCATTTATCATTTCATATTTCCTTATGAGCTACATGTGGTCAATACCTCTTGCCTTCCCTAAATATTCTCTGTCAAATATTCTGTCTCAAATTATCTATACTTGTAGGCTTGTTTGTTTGTTTGTTTACAAACTAAGAAATGTGACTTTATTTAACTGCTTCTTCATACACATTTTCTTGTGTATTTAGAGGAATCCCAGTTTCCAATATAATGGATTGACTCTAACATGGCCCCTAATGATTCCCGACCTTCTGGTATTTACATCCTTGTTAATCCTCTCTGCTTGAGTGTGGGCAGAACTTGGGACTTACTTCTAACCAATCGGTTATGGCCAAGGTGGTGGGATGCCGCTTCTGTGACTATGTTGCATGAGAGTGTAACATACATTTTAGCAGCAGACTCTCTTCCTTGTTTGATTCAGTGAAGCAAGTTGTGAGCTGCTCTACTGAGAGGCCCATGTGGCAAGGAGAGGTGGCATCTGACCAACCCAGCAAGAACATAAATCCTGTCAATAATCATGTGAGCTTAAGAGTGGACTTTTCCCCAGTCCAATCAACTGACATCCCAATTATATCCTTGTAAAGAGACCCAGAAGCTGAGGACCCAGCTAAGCCACTCCCAGATTTCTGACAAACAGAAACCATGAAATATCCAGTGTGTTGTTTTAAAGCCACTAAGTTTGTGGTAATTCATTTTGCAGCAATAAAGAGCTAGTCTATGACCCAAGCACATCATTTTCTAGATAGGTTTTGGGTTTTTTTGCATTTTTTTATCCAGGAAACAGCCAAATCAGGCTTCTTCTTTATTTCTCAAATATCCCTCTTTTTCTAAGAATCATTAATGCCCCAGTAACCTCAAATGCTTATAACCTTCTTCCTTTCCTCACTAGTGTTTCCTTCAGTTTCTTTCTTCCTTTCTCCCTCCCTCCCTCTCTCCCTCTTTCCCTCTTTTCATTCTACCACAGTTCAGTTATCAAAGCAGAACATTTTGAAATTGACTTAATGCTCTTTCTTTCTTTCTTTCTTTTCTTTCTTTCTTTTTTCTTTTCCTTTCTTTTTCTTTCTTTATTTCTTTTATTTCTTTCTTTCTTTTCTTTCTTTCTTTATCTTTCTTTCTTTCTTTTCTTTCTTTTCTTTCTTTCTTTCTTTCTCTTTCCTTCTCTCTCTCTCTTTCTTGCTCTCTCTCCCTTCCTACTTACTTATTATATATATATATATTTTTTTGCAAATAAGCTGTCTATTCTGTCTTGGTTTAAAGATAATCCACTCTTTATTCTCTCCAGAGTTTCTCAAATCTCTTGAGCAACTTTCTACTGAAAGTATAATTTCACATCATTCGGAAATTGTAGAAATTAGTAGCTTTTATTCAGAATGAGAGAAATAAGTAGCCTTGATTCAGAACTAGAGAAATAATTAGCTTTCAAACACCACTGCACTTTTTCATTTTATGAAGAATGAAAGGCTACTTACATTTTCCATTTTTTATCATCCTTTGACCTTTGTCTTCACCAATGGAATGTGACATGAGAAAAGCTATTCTAGTATAGCACAGACCCTTCACTGTAAACACAGGCATGATTTTAATACTACCACTTGCAGCATATTGAAAATGACTGGAGCTAGCAGCTGATGGTTTGTTCATACTGTGCATCCTATTCTAGACTTCAGTCCATCTGTATCTGTACTCTTTTCTCCCTGACAGTAAATGCTGCCTACACGGTGCACGGGAATGATTCCACAAAGGACTTAGAGAACGTTTGTGAGAGAAGATCAAAATGTTGACTATGATTTCTTCCTTTCTGTATCTGTGATAGCATTTCATGACAATGTGAGGCAGAAAGAAATAGATTCTTGTTTGGGGATTACAAAAACTAATCCACATGCACCTGACTAGTGGTGCATATGTTCAGGTGGATAGAAGCCACTTCCAAAACGATTCAGAACTTCCAAAATGATCATTGGGAGAAATGGACACATTCTTAAGATAGTTTGATAATGATTATAAATACTTAATTTGTCCTTTTCTTCAGCAAAGACTGAATAACAGACCTCCTTCAATCAGTACATTTGAAAGTTCTTAAAAATCAATATTTGGGAGGTACCAATTTGATGGGAAGATTGGAAACAATATAGCAAATACACTTCCTTGATTTTTTTTCAGTTATGACATTATTTTAAGAAGGCAAGTGAAATTGTCTGCCAAGATCATCAACAAGAGATTACATAGTTACATAGGTTACATAGTTAATGGTAAAATCCCCACTGCTAAGGACAGATTTTTTAAAATATACTTAGAATTTAAGCATATTGGGAAGATTTGTTGTTATTTATATTTTCCTAAAATATATATACTTTTCTGATAAATAGCACAATTAAACCAAACGAAAATACACGTTCACAATTGAGTCTCTTAGAGACATTTCAGATCAACTGATATCTGTCCTTAACTCTAAATAGTAACCAAAATATTTCCTCTGATGAATGTCTGTCCTGGAATTACCTGTATTGTTTTCTTGTGTCATGCCCAACCGCATTCGTCTCCCAAATTTTGGTAGCCAGAACTCTAACGGTATTCAGAAACAGAATAAAATTCAGCTGAAAGAGAAGATAATATTACAAAGAATTATTAAGTTAGTCTTCAAGTTGTTTGTAAAAATTTACATAAATTGCACCTCTTTGTATTCAAAGACTGAACATTACCCATTCTGTAAATGTTAATGAGGAAATCTGAGGTAAGATATTGGAAAGATAGGGATTCTTGATTTGCCCTCATGAAAACACAGAGATAAAATTTCAACAGCACTAGAAACTAGAAATACCAGAGGATAATCTGCCAGAATCCATGGGAATTTCCAAACCAAAGTTCAGATGAAGTTCTGTGGCAGACTTGCTGGATAAAGGATAATAGTTATTATACAAATGTAATTGACAGCCCTTTTTGAAATGAATTCCCAGCTTGTTATCTATTTTAGGGAGAAGAATAATAGGGTTGCTTTGGGGCTGATGTCTCTCTTATGATGTATGAAAAGCACTGGGTGAAGTATACAAGGTTAAAAAAAAAAAGCCAGGTAAGATACTGTATAAGAAAAAGTCTCAGTGTAGGCAATTAAATTGAGGTGTGGGCACCACCAGACAATCACGTTCTGGCTTTAAAAAGGGGGAGGGAGGGCTTCCCTGGTGGCACAGTGGTTGAGAGTCTGCCTGCCGATGCAGGGGACACGAGTTCGTGCCCCGGTCCGCGAAGATCCCACATGCCGCAGAGCGGCTAGGCCCGTGAGCCATGGCCGCTGAGCCTGCGCGTCCAGAGCCTGTGCTCTGCAACGGGAGAGGCCACAGCAGTGAGAGGCCCGCGTACCGCAAACAAAAAAACAAAAATAAAAGGGGGCGGGGAAGGGAAAGTATTGGTGGGATAAGACATTTTATGTCCAAGGGCCTCAAGGATCAGTGAAGAGGTCCAAAATGAAGAGGAAGAAAAGATCTCCAGGTCATGGGTCATAAGGAGGTAGAAGCCCGAACCCCTTGGGTCCCTTAATTCAGGGAGATGTCTACAGTCCAGGAAGCACTAGCACTTAGGAATAATGGAATTGTGAATTGCCAAGAGTGGGTTTCTGTTAATGCCAGAGCAACAGCTAGAAGAGAGGACCCATCAACTCTGCATTCCTGGGGATAAATTATCCTGCAGAGTCTCCAATCATTTCTGGAATTTGGAGAATTTTGGTATTGGGTGATTCATGTGCCCCACTACCCAAACTAGTTGATTATCTGCATCAGCCCTTAATTCCAACCACCTTCTTGGCCATCCTACCACTGACTACCCCATAGGCAACTCTCACCAATTTCACAGCCTCCTACAAGAACTGGGGGCTGGCTTTTCAATAAGTGGTGCTGGGAAAACTAGACAGCTACATGTAAAAGAATGAAATTAGAACACTCCCTAACACCATACACAAAAATAAACCCAAAATGGATTAAAGACCTAAATGTAAGGCCAGACACTAAAAAACTCTTAGAGGAAAACATAGGCAGAACACTCTATGACATAAATCACAGCAAGATCCTTTTTGACACACCTCCTAGAGAAATGGAAATAAAAACCAAAATAAACAAATGAGACCTAATGAAACATAAAAGCTTTTGCACAGCAAAGGAAACCATAAACAAGATGAAAAGACAACCCTCAGAATCAGATAAAATATTTGCAAACAAAGCAACTGACAAAGGATTAACCTCCAAAATATACAAGTAGCTCATGCAGCTCAATATCAGACAAACAAACAACCCAATCCAAAAATGGGCAGAAGACCTAGACATTTCTCCAAAGAAGATGTACAGACTGCCAACAAACACATGAAAGAATGCTCAACATCACTAATCATTAGAGAAATGCAAATCAAAACTACAATGACGTATCACCTCACACTGGTCAGAATAACCATTAACAAAAAAATCTACAAACAATAAATGCTGGAGAGGGTGTGGAGAAAAGGGAACTCTCTTGCACTGTTGGTGGGAATGTAAATTGATACAGCCACTATGGAGAACAGTATGGAGGTTACTTAAAAAACTACAAATAGAACTACCATATGACCCAGCAATCCCACTATTGGGCATATACCCTGAGAAAACCATAATTCAAAAAGAGTCATGTACCACAATGTTCACTGCAGCACTATTTACAATAGCCAGCACATGGAAGCAACCTAAGTGTCCATCAACAGATGAATGGATAAAGAAGATGTGGCACATATATACAATGGAATATAACTCAGCCATAAAAAGAAACAAAATTGAGTTATTTGTAGTGAGGTGGATGGACCTAGAGACTGTCATACAGAGTGAAGTAAGTCAGAAAGAGAAACACAAATACCGTATGCTAACACATATATGTGGAATCTAAAAAGAAAAAAAGAAAATGGTTCTGACGAACATAGGGGCAGGACAGGAATAAAGATGCAGACATAGAGAATGGACTTGAGGACATGGGGAGGGAGAAGGGCAAGCTGGGACGAAGTGAGAGAGTGGCGGTGACATATATACACTACCAGATGTAAAACAGATAGCTAGTGGGAAGCAGCCACATAGCACAGGGAGATCAGCTCGGTGCTTTGTGACCACCTAGAGGGGTAGATAGGGAGGGTGGGAGGGAGGGAGATGCAAGAGGGAGGGGATATGGGGATATATGTATATATATAGCTGATTCAGTTTGTTAAACAGCAGAAACTAACACAAAAATATAAAGCAATTATACTCCAATAAAGGCTAAAAAAAAAAAAAAAAAGAACTGGGGGCTGGGTCTTGAGCCCCATACCCTAGGGGAAGGACAGAGCTGTGCTGTGAAATTGTGGAAGAAGGATGTTTTCAGGCTAATAAGAGCTACTAGTTATTGAACACTGCCTAGTTTAAATGCTCACATAAATATGATACAGGAATTTTTATTATGCCCATTTATTATGAATGAAGAAACTCTAGCTCAAAGATATTAACTGATTTGACCTAGACTACCCAGCTATCAGCTGGAATTTGAACCAGGCCTATGTGAGTCTGTATTGTGAATTCTTAACCACTACCTTTATTTTTCAATTAAATTTAACTTTTTATTTATTGAGGTAACATTGGTTTATAACATTATAGGTTTCATGTGTAGAACATTTAGACTTCTGTATATACTACAGCATGCTCACTACCAAAAGGTAGTTTCTATCCATCCCCTTTACCCATTTCGTCCTCCCCACACCTTTCCCTTCTGGTAAACACTACTGTGTTCTCTGTATCTAGGTGTTTGTTTTTATTTAGTTTGTTCATTTATTTTGTTTTGGGGGGACATTGTTTTTGTTTTTATACTCCACATGTAAGTGAAATCATACAATATTTGTCTTTCTGATTTATTTCAGTTAGCATACTACCCTCAAGGTCCATCAATGTTGTCACAAATGGCAAGATTTCTTCTTTTTATGGCTGAGTAGTATTTCATTGTGTCTGAATAGATAGATAGGTAGATAGATAGATAGATACAGATATAGATATATAGATACAGATATAGATACAGATATCATATCTTCTATACCTATTCAATGGGCACTTAGGTTATCTCCATATCTTGGCTATTGTAAAAAGTGCTGTGATGAATATAGGGGTGCATATACTTTGAATTCGTGTCTTTGTATTCTTCATATAAATACCTAGAAGTGGAATAGATAGGTCATATGGTAGTTCTGTTCTTAATTTTCTGAGGAATCTCTATATTGTTTTCCATAGTAGCTACACCAATTCACATTCCCACCAACAATATGTAGAGTTCTCTTTTCTCCACATCCTCTCTAACACTCGTTATTTCTCATTTTTCTTGATAATAGCCATTCCAATGGGCATGGAATGATATCTCATTGTGGTTTTAATTTGCATTTACCAAATAATTAGTGACATTCAACATCTTTTTTGTGTGCTCGTTTGCCATCTGTATGTCTATTCAGCTCCTCTACCCAACTTTTGTTGTTGAGTTGTGCAAGTTCTTTATGTATTTTGGATATTAATCCCATTATTGGGTACATGATTTGCAAATATCTTCTCCCATTTGGTAGGTTGTCTTTTTTATTGTTGATAGTTTCCTTTGCTATACAGAAGCTTTTTAGTTTGCTGTAGTCCCATTTGTTTATTTTTGCTTTTGTTTCCCTTGCCTGAGGACACATATTCAGAAAGATATTGCTAAGACCAATGCCAAAGAGTATATTGCATATGTTTTCTTCCAGGAGTTTGTGGTTTCAGTTCTTACATTTAAGTCTAATCCATTTCGAGTTGATTTTTGTGTATTGTGTGAGATAGTGGTCCACTTTCATTCTTTTGCATGTGGCTGTTCAGTTTTCCCAACACCATTTATTGAAGAGACCATCCTTTCTCCATTGTATATTCTTTGCCCCTTTGTTTTAAATTAACTGTCCATATATGTGTGGTTTTATTGCTGGTCTCTCAATTCTGTTCCATTTATCTGTGTGACTCTTTTTCTGCCAATACCATGCTGTTTTGATTACTACAGCTTTGTAACACAGTTTGAAATCAGGGAGTGTGACATCACCAGCTTTGTTCTTTTCTCTTGGGATTTATTTGGCTATTCAGGGGTCTTTTGTGGCTCTATACAAATATTTGGATTTTTATATTCTAGTTCTTTGAACAATGTCCTTGGGATTTTGATGGGTATTGCACTGAATATGTATATTGCTTTAGGTAATGTAGACATTTTAACAATGTTACTTCTTCCAATCCATGAGCATAGAACACCTTTCCATTTCTTTGCATAGCCTTCAGTTTCTTTCAGGCTGTCTTATAGTTTTCAGTGTACATGTTTTTCACCTCCTTGGTTAAATTTATTCCTAGGTATTTTATTCTTTTTGTTGCAGTTGTAAATGGTATTGTTTTCTTAATTTCTCTTTCTGCTAGTCCATTGTTAGTGTATAGAAATGCAACAGATTTTTGTATGTTGGTTTGTATCCTGCAACTGTACTGAATTTGTTTATTAGTTCTAACAGGGTTTTTTGTGGAGTCTTCAGGGGTTTTTAAATATAAAATCATGTCATCTGCAAGTAATCAGTTTGACTTCTTCC